AGAGGAATGCAAATTCTCTATTTCAGAAGATTTTGTTTTCAAATTCCCATCGTGTGTGTTCAATAGATGTAATTCAATATTCGTCGTAGCATATAGCCAGGAGATTAGTTATTTTCTGTTGAATAAACCATGAAAGAATTGATATTTTTATCACATGGAGAATGCAAATCCTCAATGCATTCCTCTAGATATATACCCATTTTTTTGTGTTTATAAATATATCTAAGAATGTTCCTTTTCAATTCTGATATATGGTTGGTGAATGATGTTGATTGTTGTTGTTGATTATAGGAATTTCACCGAGCCCTTACTTGCTGAACTTTCCATGGATAACTTGGAGAGAATAATACATGAACATTCATTATTTGAACTTTGTTTGTATTGATAAAGATAGATGACGTCATAGTATGCTTCGAAGGAACAATTAGACACTTTTTACTAATATATTGATACTATTCATCCAGACATGAAATGCACGGAAATAGAAATGGAGAAAGCAAAAAATTCCTCAGAATTGACAATAAGTAAAATTGATGATGAACATGATTTTTCAAATTTTCATAAACCTTCACACACTAATATCACTATTCATGATGATTCAACACACCCTTATCAACATAAAATCGCAGCATATGATAGTTCACACAGGCAAGTGGATGTTTCTTTTTCGAAAGTAAATTTCAATAAAGAACTCGATATCATAAAACATATTGCAGTCAACAACGGTTACTACGTTGATTTGATATACAGTATTCTTCCTAAAAAACTTCATAATGGGAGGATAGAAGTAGTTCATCCTTCTATCGGGAATAATAATCAAAATTATAGAACTCCAATTCATTTCGGAACATCAACAGAAAAATTAGCTTCATTTCTACATAAACAGGTCTTTAAAGTAGCATAAAGAACAAATAACACGTTGGAAAGGTATATCAGAAATAATAAAGACAAAACTCTAGGGGTATAAAAACTCAACTGTGAATCTTGTCCTGAGGTATATATCGGTCAGACAGTTCGTACGTGCCATCAGCGCTTTTTTTTTATCGCTTGGAGCGCACGAAAGGGAATCCCTATAATGTTCGAAGAACATCGTGCGTTCCTAGGGAGTATAGGGACAGGAGGTAGGTATTGGAATTTTGTTTTGAACTTTTGGAGATTATATGTTGTTGGGAATACTTCCACAGGCAATGAATTCCAGAGCCTAGCCGTTCTATGGATGGAGGAGTCTTGATAAAGTGCTGTTCGACATCTTTCGAGGTTGACAACGAAAGGATGTGCTGACTGGGCTTGTCTAGTTCGTCTGATTGGTATTGCTAGTGAAGGGAAGATAGCAGAGATTTCCGAAAAACATTTCCCGTGGAAGTATCGTTAGAAAAGTGAAAGGTAGCCGACCTTTCTACGGTGTTCCAATGATGTCAAAGAGTGAGTGAGTGTGGCCTCACCCACCAGGCAAATGGCTCTTCTCTGGATGGAATCTAACTAAACAAATTCAACATACTTTACGTCAACCATATATCAGAATAAAGTCATAGTTCTGACGATAATTTCGAAATTCTCCACGTAGAAAATGAAGGAATGGAACTTAATCATTGTGGATCATTAGAAATCAACAAACTCAAGAATTCTGTCATTTCACTCAACGGTCAAGAAGACCTCAATAGTTCACCACTGTTGAATTTGTTTTCTCAGTAGGTAATAATATGTATTTGCTATCAACCCCTTTCAAGTTGATCCGGTTCACCGTATTTCAATGTGAATGTGCCTAATTTTGAAGAGTGGAGAATCTGTCCACAGGTAACTGATCCTTTGGGTTGGGAAAATAGGATATATTGAAGTTAAGCAAGCCAAGGTTAGTTGTTCATTTCACCAGTAGATCACCTGACGAAGCAACTGTGTTAGCGAATGTCGTGTGTTTGAGAATTATGTGGGAGTCTTATCGTTTGTGGAATATTTAGGTAAATTCAACCCTGGCAAACACCTTCAATTATTCATAGGAGATACAAATCACCTTTCAAGAATACTGCATGGAAAAATCAAAAGTATTTCCTGATCTCACGGTCTCAATTCATCGAGTTATCGAGTTTTCTTTCAGGCAGATCGCTTCACGTGGTGGTGGACGGTGTATCCTCTGATACCATTGGCATCAATTCCGGCGTTCCACAAGGATCAATTTTGGCACCAACATTATTCCTGCTTCATATCAATGATCTTTTGGGAGTAACAACTTGCCCCATCCACAGCTTTGCAGATGATAGTACCCTCCATACTGCGTTCTCTTCCAGAATTCCCATTTCTTCCCAGGAAACTAAGAACTCACGGCGCAGGCAGGTCAATGCTGTCAATGAAGATCTTGCTGAAATCACAGCCTGGGGAACGAACAACCTAGTTGAATTCAACGCCACCAAAACTCAAGCCTGCATTTTCTCTAGAAAGGCGGAACTCAGTATGCCCGATATTGTTATGTCTGGCTCCACCATCCCCACCAAGCCCACCATATCTATGCTCGGTATTTCCATCAGCAACACTCTCTCATGGGATAATCATGTCAGATCCATCGCAAAAGCTGCTTCACAAAAACTCGGATTCTTGTTCCGTGCGAAAAGCTACTTTACCCCTCAACAACTTCTCATGATCTACAAAGCGCAGATACGGCCTGTTCTAGAATACTGTTCCCACATATGGGGTTCAGCACCAAAACATACGCTGATGCTCTTAGATTCCATCCAGAGAAGAGCCATTCGCCTGGTGGGTGACGCCACACTCACTCACTCTTTGACATCATTGGAACATCGTAGAAAGGTCGGCGACCTTTCACTTTTCTATCGATTCTTCCACGGTAAATGTTCTTCGGAAATCTCTGCAATCATCCCTTCATTAGCAATACCAATCAGACGAACTAGACAAGCCCAGTCAGCACATCCTTTCGTTGTCAACCTCGAAAGATGTCGAACAGCACTTTATCAAGACTCCTTCATCCATAGAACGGCTAGGCTCTGGAATTCATTGCCTGTGGAAGTATTCCCAACAACATATAATCTCCAAAAATTCAAAAAAAATTCCAATACCTACCTCCTGTCCCTATCCTCCCTAGGAACGCACGATGTTCTCTGAACATTATAGGGATTCCCTTTCGTGCGCTCCAATCGATAAAAAAAAAAAAAAAAAAAAAAAAAAAAAAAAGAATGAAATACAACCTATAAATAACGAAAAGTTGGGTTACTAACACCAATGGATATGCGCTGTCAAACCAAGCAGTGTAGAAGATGAATGAGATGTATGGAATCATATGTGAACACGCAAGCATGAATATTTGATTAGGAATCAAATTTCAAAATAATTTTCCACACAAAAAAATCTTGCGTGCATTTCCACGACTATGTCTATACGTCAGAAAGCAGACTGCTGGTAGTGTTGATAGTTTCTGCGAGTAGCAGAAGATGTCATTGCAATCAACGTCGGACTGAAGCTGGATCCAAATCAGCAGAGTTAGATCTGGGTCGAATTACCAGGAATCTTGAGCCTCCAGATTCAGGCACCAAGCTCGAAGTGAGATTATAGAGCTGACTCATACCAAACACCCTGTAGAAGAATAAGCTTGATTACACGATATTCCTCACTCGTTTCAAAATAGTGAAATGTGATCTCGAGCATAGCATCTATCACCCTTTCGTTCACCTTTCATGATTTTACCAACTCAAATACTCTCAACATTTCAAATATATAACTTTATTATGCTGATGAATTCAATGTAGGAAAACAAGCAATATTTTTCTTGTGAATTCAAGTAAATCCACCCTGTAATGCTGTCTATCTCGAAAATGTATTGTATTATTGAGTGGAAAGAGGCCATTATTATTTCCATGTTCGAAAACTCTACAGGTGGCATCCGGTATAGTCTCAGAAAATGACAGTTTGAAGTGAGTTAGAAATGACATTATCGAAATTCAGCTTGAAAACTTGAGGTGATGTTACTCAGTACAGAAAAACGCAGTAATTCCAATTGGATTGAAAAATACAATATTAGCCCTCTCGGAAAGCTCGAATGAGTCCACCCTGTATAACAACCATAGAATATCAATTTTCAAGAATCCAAATATATTCAGAATACTATTCGAGATGTGAGCTCACCATGATGCCAGGTCAATGATGGACATTGCTTCGAAAGTGATCACCCATGTACCTATTAATGTTTGCTGGGAAGTAGAGGTGTTATGTCTTTTTTTTATTGCTTGGAGCGTACGGAAGGGAATCCCTATAATGTTAAAAGAACATCGTTCGTTCCTAGGGAGGATAGGAATAGGAGGTAGTTATTGGAATTTTTTTGAACTTCTGGAGATTATATGTTTTTGGGAATACTTCCTCAGGCAATGAATTCCAGAGCCTAGCCGTTCTATGGATGAAGGAGTTTTGATAAAGTGCTGATGATGAATTTGGTACGTCTTGATGAAGTGAATACATTGAGAACTCAGGTTGTTGATAAGATAATGCGTAGATGAGTTGAGTGTTCATAAAATGAAGGTGTTGACGAAATGTTCCTCTGTTGGATTTGGTCATTGCCAAATTGGGTGTCAATGAATTGGGTGCGTTGATGAGTTGGTTGCGTTGATGAGTTGAGTCGTTGTTGAATTGACCGTTGATTGAATGAGGATGGGCAAGTTTTTTAACTCGATTGGCAGTGTACCAGAATTGAGGCGATTCCGAATGGAGAGTTCGATTTGAAATTTCCCTTTTTTAATTTAGAATTTCCATGAAATTCACTCTAGAATGTTTTTCTTCCTTCATCATTCGCATTCGTCAACCGCTAAGTATTTTGATCATTTTTTCTCTAACAAAGAGGAAAGTGTGTCCATTCCTACATACTAACTGTTATCTTAAACCACTAGATTTGCTGAGATATCTACCTGAAACACCATTGTTTTTGTGTAATAATTTATTTGAATACATTGATGCAACTGTCTATAGATTGAGCCTAGGTCAATATTATTAAAACAAACAGAATAAAAATTTGCGACCAGGAGGTTCAATGTACGAGAAGTTCACGAAGTCAGTTCATTCAGGTTTCTCAGTACGCTTTTTCATCGAGATTTCAGTGAAATGGTTGGGAAAGACGCCAGAAGCTCCGAACAATATCACCCTGTTCCTCCTGAAGACGTTATTAACTATGATGATGAAAGAAATCTACGAACCGCAGGGCTATTACAAGAAGCTTCCTTTAAACTCACAGAAGGTAAGATTGAGAGGAAAAAACTGATTATACAATGTGTTCCAAAAAAGATAGTCCTCTTGCTAGGATGGGTAGAACAGGATACAAGATGTTGGAAAATGGAGTATTCATACAAATTCTCCATAGTTATTCCGAAACTATTATCATGATATTGTGTATGATTATGGTTTGAAAGCTGACACATCGCAGGAATTTGTTTTTGTATTTGACACCCATAGGGGGCGCTCATACGAACCGTGTTCTTCATTTCTTTTTGTTATCGCTTGGAGCGCACGAAAAGAAAGCCCTATAATGTTCAAAGAACATCGTGCGTTCCTAGGGAGGATGAGGCAGGAGGTAGGTATTGGAATTTGTTTCGAACTTCTGGAGGTTATATGTTGTTGGGAATACTTCCTCAGGCAATGAATTCCAGAGCATAGCCGTTCTATGGATGCAAGAGTTTTGATAAAGTGCTGTTCGACATCTTTCGAGGTTGACAACGGAAGGATGTGTTGATTGGGCTTGTCTAGTTCGTCTGACTGGTATTGCTACTGAAGGGATGATAGCAAAGATTTCGAAGAACATTTCCCGTTAAAGTATCGATAGAAGAGTGAAAGGTCGCCGACCTTTCCACGGTGTTCCAATGATGTCAAAGAGTGAGTGTGTGTGGCGTCATCCACCAGGCGAATGGCTCTTCTCTGGGTGGAATCTGAGAGCATCAGCGTATGTTCTGGTGCTGAACCCCACATGTGGGAACAGTATTCTGGAACAGGCCGTATCTGCGCTTTGTAGATCATGAGAAGCTGTTGAGGTGTAAAGTATCCTTTCGCACGGAACAAAAATCCAAGTTATTGTGAAGCAGCTTTTGCGATGGATCTGACATGATTATCCCATGAAAGAGTGTTGCTGATGGAAATACCGAGCATAGATATGGTGTATTTTTTCTAACATTTCAACCTCTTTCAGGATTTCTAACCCAAGCGTCATGTGAACTCGAACAAAATTCCATCTCACACCTTGAAGTATCGTTTTTGGTATATTTTGAGCGATGATTGGTGCATTTACAAAGTGACGTAAAAAGTTTCATGAAAAATCACCTTCACATCAATAACGAAACAATATTGCATTTTCTAAAAATAAATGCAAATTGAATGAACATCTTTATTCAAAAACAGTAACAAAAATCAGGTACATTGGATATTTATCTGTAATACTTTCTACAAGAATAGGTTGATAAATTTTCATAACCGTCAATATTATTTTTATTCCAGTTTCATTCATTCAGAAGAAGGTATGAAAAATAGGGATAATTGAGAAGGAACTATTGATTTCGTTTGTAAATACCCATCTGCAGGAAGGAGAGAGGTCGCCGACTGTTCTACAGTATTTCAATAACGTTAAGAGGAGAGTTTCAACCAAATCGACATGCAGGCCTGCACTAGTTGTTGCTATTTGGGCTCATGAATGATTCAATTGAAAAACTGATTAAATCATCGTAAAGAAGAAGGTTGGGACTAGGGCCTGGTTATCATAAGGAGTCGAAACTCATTTATTTATAGAAGATACAGATTTTTGAAAAACGTAAACATTGAAATTTTTTTGTCTCAAATTGAAATATTTTCGATCCCAGTACAATTGTTGGAAATTCGGCGAGGTGTCACTGAAATATCAGCTCTTGAAATGTTTCCATTCGGACAGGAAGCAACAAAAACGATTATTCTGTCAACAAAATATCCATTCATCCCAGCTGATCTCGGTAAACTCCATTTCTTGAAAGAATATAATGCAGGAAACTAGGATGTGGTAGTTCAGGCACTACCTGATAGATGGCAGTGTTCGAAATGACAGACTGCGGCAGAGAGGAATGGTGCATTGTATTGCAAGCAGATGGCGCTTAGGAGAGATGATGAATTCAAACCCGTTTACACTGTTGCCAATGTTATACATATTACTCGGACATATTATGAAATCTAGGCGACGTGATAATACAGAGGGTATTATTCAATTATCTGGGCATATTTCAAGGGGAGGTTCTCTGAGTGTTTGTAAGACGAACAAATCTGATATATAAAATTCTCCTGTCACGGTCACGGTCATAGTGGTCGAACTCCTCCGAAACGGCTCGACCGATTCGTATGAAATTTTTTGTGCGTATTCGGTAGGTATGAGAATCGGTCGTTATCTATTTTTTAAATAGAAAAAACAAAATGGCGGTTCCAATATGGCGACCGAGTATAGTTATCCGATTTCATTCAAAATTGGTACTCAGGGGTTTTCGGGGTCGGAGATTATGAATATTTCGTCAAATTTTGGAAATTCAAGATGGCGGATCCAATATAGCGGACGAGCTTTGTAATTATGGTCAGATTCTATCCAAAATTGGTATCGGGGGGTTTTCGAGGTCGGAGATTATGATTTCTTCATCGAAATAAGGGAATTCAAAATGGTGGATCCAATATGGCGGACGAGTTTTGTATTTATTTTTTTTATCGCTTGGAGCGCACGAAAGGAAATCCCTATAATGTTCAAAGAACATCGTGCGTTCCTAGGGAGGATAGGGACAGGAGGTAGGTATTGGAGTTTTTTTTTGAACTTCTGGAGATTATATGTTGTTGGGAATACTTCCTCGGGCACTGAATTCCAGAGCCTAGCCGTTCTATGGATGGAGGAGTTTTGATAAAGTGCTGTTCGACATCTTTCGAGGTTGACAACGAAAGGATGTGCTGACTGGGCTTGTCTACTTCGTCTGGTATTGCTAGTGGAGGGATGATAGCCATTTCCCGTGGAAGTATCGATAGAAAAGTGAAAGGTCGCCGACCTTTTTACGGTGTTTCAATGATGTCAAAGAGTGAGTGAGTGTGGCGTCACCCACCAGGCGAATGGCTCTTCTCTGGATGGAATCTGAGAGCATCAGCGTATGTTTTGGTGCTAAACAGAACAGATTGGTCAGATATCATTCAAAATTGGTATCTGGTGGTTTTCGAGGTCAGGGATTATGATTTTTTATCAAAATTAAGGAATTCGAAATGGCGGATCCAATATGGCGGACGTTTTGTAATTATGGTCAGGTTCTATTCAAAATTGGTATCTGGAGGTTTTAGAGGTCGTAGATAATTATGAATCATTCGTCAAAATGGGGAAATTCAAAATGGTGGATCCAATATGGTGGAAGAGTTTTGTAATTATTATGATCAGATTCTATGTAAAATTGGTATCGGGGGGTTTTCGGAGTCTAAAATAATGATCCTTTCATCAAAATTTGGAAATCCAAGATGACAGATTCAATATGGCTGACGAGTTTTGTAACTTAATCCGATTCCATTCCAAATTTGTATATGGGGGATTTTGGGATGGGAGATTATGATTGTTCATCAAAATAAGGAAATTGGAGATGGAGGATGGCAACTGAGTTTTGTAGTTATGATCCAATTCTATTCAAAATTTGTATCCGGGTGTTTTCGGGGTCGGAGAAGAATTAGAAAACAAATGAATATGAGTATGTTGATTGATATTCAACTAAAAAAATATTTTCTGGAAATAATTGTATATAGCAGAACAACGTTTGCCGGGTATCAGCTATTGTAATAAATATCAGTTCGAAAAACTAATGAAACACCTTTTTATAGATAGCCATACTAAAAAGAAGTGAGTAGAAAATAAAGAGTAGTTTGAAAAAATTTAGTGGTATAGAGAACCGAACTAAAAAGAACTAGAAAATAAATAGAGTAGTTTGAAACGGCCTAGAATTTGTCACTGAATTATAATTATATAAGTAGACCTGAAAATTTAAACATACAAATTCAGCAGAATTTCTTCAATTCTATTCATGAGATCGATAATTATGTCAGCATATAGATGGAAATAATAGGAATGGCACAGTTGTGGAACAAACTTCAAAAAGCTTTGTTAATCTGTGTCAGAAGTTCGGGTTATTTCACTCTAAAACTCATGCAAAAACATTCGTCTCAGAACTCTCAGAGTACAGTTCTCAGATTTTGGATCCATTGATATGGCGATATTCACAAAGGATAATACCGCCACGGCGACAAAACAAAACTGAGCGAGAAATCGTTATATGTCTCTCTCCTCTCCCTCCCGCGGCGAACCGGGGGGATATTCGTTGGTCGCGCAGTGATTCTCCGTCTTTCCGCAGTCCGCCACGTGCCACTTTGAATTGCGTGAACTTCAGATGAACTTCAAACTAACCGGCATATAATCAATAATTGAAAAGCCAGTGTTGCAAGCTGCTGCAAATGATATGTCGCAAAAATTCATAAGAATGGGCAGAAAAGCGAGGCAACAGGAAAGTCAGCCACATACGAAATATTTGAAAATACAGCCGCTTTTTTTTCGAGACATTTGGAGACGTTATCGAACATCCAGTTCATGTTTTAGAGAATTATCGTAGGTAGATACTCCATATTCCACTTACATCTTCTTTGGGGAAGATTTTTGAAATTCAATTAATTCCTTGATATTAAAATTTTCTTTGAAATATATACAGGGTTATTCATTCAAAATGGTCAATGTGTGAGCTAGAAATAGTAAACATCAGAATATCAAGATTCAGCCTTACATCTCACATAGAAAATGCTGTTAGTTTTGGAGAAACAGGGTTTACAAGGAAAATATTTTATTTTGAAATTCCTCATACAATAACTTTGTAAGTTTTAAATCAGCATGAAAATGGTCAATGTGTGAGCTAGAAATAGTAAACATCAGAATATCAAGATGCAGCCTCCCATCTCTCATAGAAAATGTTGTTAGTGTTGGAGAAACAGGTTGTTCAAGAAAAATATTTCATTTTAGAATTCCTCATACAATAACTTTGTGAGTTTTATATCAGCATGAACATAATCTTCTTATATTTTTTTCATTATAATTCAATTTTTAAAACTTGTCCGCTTTAATGGATCTGCAATCCTGAATTTCCCAATTTTGACGATAGAATCATAATCTCCGACCCCAAACACCCTTATATATAAATTTTGAATAGGATATAATCATCATCACATAACTCGTCCGCCATATTGAATCCGTCATCTTGAATTTTTTCATTTCTGGATTCATAATCTCCGACCCCAAAAAACCCCAGATACAAATTTCAAATGGCATAGAATCATAATTACGAAACTCGTGCGCCATATTGGTGGAGCCATGATGAAAGAATCATAATCTTCGACGCCGAGAACCCCAGACACCAATTTTGAATAGAATGGGATCACAATTATTATAAATAAAACTCGTCAGCCATCTTCAATATCCTAATTTTCACGAAAGAATCATAATCTTCGACTCCGAAAACCTCCATATACCAATTCAGAATAGAATCTAATCATAATTTCAAAATACTTCATAATATAAGATGAGATGCGATACTGCACCCTTCAAATTTATTGCTATTCATTGACCTCGCGATAACGGGACACGGAACGGGTTGTGACGATGACGCGAAATCCAATGTTTTTCTCCACCCAAAAAAGTGCTCAACGCGCCTAGAAGTTCTCACTTCGAAAAAATTGTTTTTTTCATAAGTGCAATTATGATCGAAATTTGTATTTCAGCAAGCAAGGCTGAATTAGAGAACATGAAATTTGAATCAAGGATTTCTTTCATTCTACACACTGTATATATCAATATAACCCTCATATCAGTAATAGCAGTGTGAATTCGTAAGAATGAAGATATTTGAAACTAGGCAATCGTCTACGTATATACCCTATACAGAAAACACGAGATTTCTATTTATAGCCATCTGAACTTGATAAAAAATCTTGCACACATTATTTCTGAATTACACAGACTATTTTGAGTATTTTGCCCTAAACAATGATTTCGATCCCCATCCTTGGAAGTTTTTCTGGCGACGCCAATAATGATAAGTTATATTAGTAGGAAATGAAATTGAAAAGAAAAAGAAATATTCGAAAGACAACTTGTGAAGACAGTTCCAAAAATGACTCATGACATAAATTTTCATTGTAGCGAGATATAGGTATTTGCTTGACTTGAATGGAGTGAAAAGTGGAATCATGTTGAGCAGGCCCGTGGAGCAGTAGCTCTGGCAACACTGCACGTACATAATACAATTACCTACGATTGCATTCAATTGTGTGCCACCTATTGGTGACCTGCTGTAACAGATGAAATCGAAGAACTCTACAATAGCTGAGAAAGCTGTAATTTAATTATTTTATTCCGATTTCGACATCACACTGACACCTAGAAATAGTTGTTGAACTAGTATATATATATAGGCTATATTCGGTCGGAAAGCTGTCGCGAAAGGCCCGCCTTAAGGAGATAGTGAGTGTATAGCATTACCGACCATGTAAATGGCCTGTCCCCTGATGGAATCTTAGAGCATCAGCGTAGGTATGTTTTCGTTCTGAACCTTATATATGGCTGTGTATGGTTGGTGGTAGCAGACATTGTTTTATTAGGAACTGAGTACGGCTTCTCGAGAACAAATACGGGTTCATGTTTTGATTGCGTTAAATCAAACTCAGTTGTTGATTTCGTGAGATGTTTTATCAGCAAAATCTTCATTAGCCGTCTTGAAGTGGTTTTGTCGTGAGTTATCAATTCTCTGGTATGAAGTGGAAATTCTGAAGAAGAACTAAGTATGCAGGGTACAATCATCTGTGGGGCTGTGAATATTATAGGTGATAACACTGAACAGATCATTGATATAGAGTAGCAATTGGATCATCATCGGAAGCCGGAAATTATTCCCATTGTATCAGACGAAACTCCGTCCAACATCACATGAGGTGATCTTTCTGCGAGACAAATTGAATAGAAAAGGCAGAGCTCAGATTTTTTAGCCATATAATGATAGTTTGTGGAGAAGTTTTTAGTGCTGAAGATAATAGAATGCTTCTGGTAAATCTAACGCCACAGCTAGAGTTTTCAATGTTTTCTGATGAAGTTTTCTGAATATGGATAACGTAGACAAGCAAATCTCTATAGTTGGTCTTCGATGAGAAACACCATATTGTCGATCATTCATGATCTAACTCAATGTTGATGGCTCTCTCCATCTCCTTGAAAACATCTGATAACTGCGCGATAGACCCATTAATGTTAGGCAGATGTTTATCGTGTTTACTGAATATTGGTTGGGTGAATTGATTTTGAGGTGTTGAAAAATCTCATGAGGCGATTTTCGTAGCTCTGGGTGATTTCATTGGGATAAGATATTTCAGTCGATATTTTTATTATATGGATGGTTTCGAGAATTTTGTGATATCATCACATTCTGTTGAATTATCCATCACAGATATAAATGATATTCTTCCGTATGACGTGGAGAAAGTTGAAAATATAAGAGATAAATAATTCCATTCCATGATATTACGTTTCAACTAAATGGAATTTCATGACCTTCTTATTTGGACGACGTCATAACGAGAAATCTCACTTCTTTCATTTCACACGATTTCACAAAATGTTCCATGGCCAGAATGGAGATGACGTACCTATACAATATCAAAAAACTATGTCGAACAGAAGAAAATGTTTCATTACTGCTTGATTTCTTCATCCTTGGTAATTGAACAGTGCTTCGTAAAGTACTTACTGAATAAAAACATTTTTTGCCAAGCTCCAAACTATTCATTCATCAAGAATCTCCTAAGACAGATCGGTTCCAATTCCCGATTCACCTCATTCATGAGGGCAAATTGAATATACAGGGTTATCCACGTTTCAGTTGATGCATTGGCTTCAATTCCTTCAATCAGAATACCCTCTTTGTTATTCATTTCCTAGAATCTCCTTCAGAAGCTGCATTGAAAAATATTCAACACATCGGGTTGGTATACGATGTGCTTCTGTTGAATTCAGTGTTCTCGTGAAATAATATGGACATTGAGAGAATACTGATGACGCAGGTTTTCATACACGAATCAATCTCTTTTATATTGATTGCATTTCAAAGAATGCTCGAATGAGAATAGCACTGAATAACGGCTTCGAGCGTACTTTTCAGAATTATTATTCATTCAATTTTCAACGACTTCATCTACTTGAGGACGCACCCAATTCGATTAACGCACTCTATGTGTGATATATTTCCAGATTCAGCTTTCCATGAAGGTTCCAAGAATTGTAGTTACCTACTTAATTTTTTCTTCTTTCTTGTTCGATTCTAGGAATATAATTTCTGGTTGATCAGGAGAATTAGAAAAAAATATATATCATTGCAAAATTCGTGAGACTGTATTATATCGATGAGCTTATTATTTCAGGAAATATTTACTTCTGAAAGTTGTCGCGGACGTCGTTATTCAAACGTTCATCGCCCTGTTATATCATTGTTCCTTTATAAATTAGGCGAATCGGTGATCAAACTCTACCTATTACAATAGATCTCTAAGAAATTGATGGTTCAGCTGAAAATGAATTAATCAACTATACATATTCTACAAGATCCCTGAATTAGTTGACATACTGTATACAAATCCTAGGTGTAATATATATTTGAATGTAGCATCTCATGAAAATTCCATAATATATATAATATATAGAATATTCCTGGATATCATAACTCTAACGTGAAAACCTCACATATTCAATTTTTCCTTCCATATGACTCCAGAAACTCCTCAAAATGGGTTCGCGTGAATATGAATCTGATTTGTTCTATACGAAAGCACTGAATATATACATGCAAACATATGATAGTGACATATTCATCACACCGTCCACAATTTGAGAACATATACTTAATGGGTCATAACTATTGGGACATATGCTGAAGCGAATTGTTTGGATCAAAATATGGCGATAGTACCAAATAAAATGCTGTGAACAAACTCTGGAGCCAGTTTTGAGTGAATATACGTTTTCAATCGAAATGTACTGTTTGTTTCGACAACTATATTTTATCAGGGCATTTTTGTTCCCATCGCCATATTTTGGTGCATATAATTCGCCCCAAGCCTATGTCACAATAATTATTACTCACCCTGTATTTTTCAGTTGGTCCAAGGTTCGGCAAACGACATGGCCAGATGATAATCTACTTCCTACTCATGTTCACCTCCTTTTGCATAAGAGTGAATATGTCTGTTAGTATCGTGGCCATGACTGATCCTGACGTCAGCATCAACAACAATATACCGGTGAGTTCGATTATACGATAGTAGTAGTATGGGTTCCGGGTCACAGGAGGGTGCCCGAGAACGAGGTGGCCGACGAGCTGTCTAGAATCGGATCCGCGACACCGTTCTGGGGACCGGAGCCTGCACTGGGCATAACAAGAAGCCAAACTTCGTCTGCCCTTAACAAATGGGGGGACGAGGCACTAGAAGGATACTGGAGGCGTATAGGCGGCTGCAGGCAATCAAGAGACCTGGTGGCCGGTCCAAGCAAGCCAAAGACGGCTTGGTTACTGGGCAGGGATCACCAAGTCCTGAGCATTCTAATATGGGTACTGACAAGGCACAACAGGTTACGAAAACACCTATCACTCATAGGTGTAGAAGATAGTCCCACTTACCGTGAATGCGGAGAAGATGAGGAGACATCACTTCACTTCCTCGGAGAGTGTGAGGCGTATGGAAGGATGAGATTCGAAATCTTCAGAGTAGATAAACAACAATAGGAAGATTTGGTCGAATTAGAGTGGACGGACATCCTGACCTCCATCAGAAGGACGGGAAGGTTCAAAAAGGGTAACTAAAAGAGGGATGTGTAGATATGTGGAGAGCAGGAGTTGGCAAAAAGGGTTTATGGGGGCCTACTTGCCTGGCTACAGCCTCCTCACATTACTACTACTACTATATTTTTCATTCTGTAAACTAGTGTAGCTGGAATTTTAGCCTCATCGTAAGGATCTCGTTAATCGTGATAGATACAGAGTTGGTTGAATTATGGCAAAGATGCGCAATTTCAAACGTGACAAAATGCCGAATACCTCCAGAAATTTCTAGACAGGAGCAAATATTCACGATTTCACTTCCATTTTTGGATGACCCTATTCCAATAGATAAAACAACGAATTACTCATACTCATCGCTACTTTTTCTGTACTACTGGATGTTGTTATCAAGTTTTCAAACCGACGGTTCATGTTTGAGCTGCCATCATCTACTTTGTGTTGTGGAGGAAGGTGTTCGATTTTAATTCTATCGAAAGTCTATTATGTCTCTTGCTAACATTATTTTCTATTTAAATGCCATGATTTGAAGTTTCTTGATTTAGTACGATATACCGTCAATTTCATAGCAGATCAAAAACTTTCCAAATGCCTGAAATAAAAAGTAAAAATGAAACCTCGACAATTCGTTATTTTTTTTCAAGAATGTTTGAAAATATTCAGAATTTTTCAATTTATTGAACAGCATTCTGGCCACGTTCAGTGAGAATCTCGAATCACATGTTGTTTCCGACCCGCAAGTACATAAACGTGTGTTCACGAATGCCAATTTCCGGATGTTTCGTTCACAAAAATTAACAGTTTCTGTATTTTCTTCGATATTGATTACGAAACTGACAATTTTTGTCATTCAAGTTAGCGAATACGAAATAAAAAGCCAGGTCCGTATTTGAAAAAATATCTTCATATGTTCATGATGATATCATAAAATTCCTCAAATTTACCATAAGTTGACAAATACTTCATTTCTCACGGTTCACAAGATTCTAATGATGAGGTTCGGATTCCAGCCACCCTGTATGTGATTGGTGATTTCCAATATTGAGAAACAAGTTTCATTATTCATTATCTTGTACGGAATCTCGAAACCATCAGAATGGGTGAGATAGATATAGAATGGAATGAAGAGGTCAAATAATTGTGACTCATCCTAGAACAGAAATTCCCTCGGAATGAACACGAAGCGAAAGTGATCAACAAGGTCACAAAAACTCTGATGATATGAAGAAACATCGCAGAAAGAAGCTGAAGGTATATCACTAGGACCCATAGATGGATACACAGCAATAGTGATACCTATCATCACATATGGAGCAGTGATCCGCCGAAACAAAACAAGTCGAGCATCCACAAAGGCTCATTTCACGAAAGTTCGAAGACAAGGATGTGTATGCATTATGCATTACCAGTGCAATGAGAACGTGTTCCACTGTCGCAATGGAGGTGATTCCAGACCACACCCCTCTGCGTTTTCTTGTGGAGAATGCGGCAAGAAGAACGACACACAGAATGATTAGAAGAGGAGTAGTCAAAGGCAAGCCTAAACATCCACTCAACCAGCAAATCCAGGAATTTCCTGAGGATAAGATGAAGTGAAGGTACAGCCAATTGAAACAATTGACCACAAGGCATGGGTATTGAGATCAAAGAAGGGGTCATCAATGGGTATACAGATTACTCCAAAACCAAATATGGAACTGGAATAGGAGTATACAGGCCTCGTACCAAGTACATCGGAAGCCTTGGTGAATTTCCAAGCTATAGAAAAATGTTACAGTTCTTGGTTGCGTGAGAGTTTAGGGGGATTATGTAACTTCAGGAAATTCATCTGGTTTCCCAGTTTGAGGAATCATACCCAAAACTGAAGCAGCATTTTCTCTATGGATCGATGTACTGATTCTTCGAATTAGAGAATCATCAGTTTCATGATCATCGGTGGATTTCTTCTTTTGCCAATCTTCTCCAGAAGATCAAGTGCCTTGGGTCTGAAAACTCTGTAGGTTTAGTCGGTTGAGCATTTCTGTAATACGTACGTGCATTTTTGGTTGTATAATCTATAAATTATGTTGTCATATTGTCCATGTAATGTTCTATGAAACAGTTCTGTGATTTTGTTAATCTTTCATATTCATCAAACCATCTTTTATTTCTGTTTGATAGTTGCTATAGTAGTTGTTGATAGAACTCATGCAGGTTGTATGGATGTTAATTGTGCATCCTTATATTCATAAAATATTTTGTTCGAAACCTGAATCCATTCGATATTCAATAACGAATTGGGGAGTTTGCTCAAATACAATGATGAGAACAGTCAAAACATTACTAAACAAAGTAGTAAAGGTCCTGTTCGATTCTGATTATGAAACAAATACAAATACATTATATAGTGTCACGAAAATATTACCACTGAATGAAATTCTACAAATTGATCAATGCTTATGTTCATATAAAGTCTCGAAAAATCAGCAGAAAGTAAAACACCAATGAATTTAGTAAACCAAGTTCACAATCACTATACCAGGGCAAACAATCGAATATATCTAACCCAGATAGGAACTAAGTAATGTGGCCCTGAATGACCCGATATCCAAATGTATTCAAACTCATGATACTATTCCAAATTTTATCAAAAACAGAGATAGTTATGAATCTCCCAAAAGAGAATTGACGATTCATATGAATGCAATCAATACTTAGTATGTAAGACGGCGATTTGAAGGTACTGATTTTTTTTTAAATTATTATTTTGCTCCAAGACTGTGTACCGAAATGTGAAATGGCATTTTCTTTTTTATTCATGTTGAACTTGTCTACTTATTACTGATTTGAAAAGAATACTATCAATTGTTATAGTCTGAGAAGCAGGTTCATTGTTTTAATGAAGTATTTTTCTTGGAAAAAAAATTCAAACTCATTTCGAATTTCAATAAATACAACTCATAGGTTATGGGCCCAGATGGAATAATTGATTTGGTGTGATAGGAAAGTAATTACGAAAAAGAAAGGTGTGAGTGTTTTTCCAAGACTCCGAGGTTTGAAGTAAAAGCATCACCTTGTTATAAGATACCATTTGACGAAATAGGATTTCCTCACTAGGAATTTCGTGTGAAACCAGTACTGAAACAATCCAGTGTTCTGGAAGTACTGGATGAAGATATCCCTATAGAAATTGAAGCCTTAGCAGCATTCAGAGAGAATGATGTGAAAGCAAGGAACATAAAAGTTCAGTATTTGTCTGACAATATATAGGGAATGATAAAAACAAGAACTACAGCTGAAGAGGTGATGGTTGCTCCAAGGTCCACATATCTCGAGCAAGGTATTCAAACACAAGTAAATCTTCAGAAGAAGCTCAGAAGTTTGAAATTTACTGAAGAAACTTCAGTAAATATTTTCCTGATCAGAATTTGAGCATACAGTGTATGAGTTAGAAAGTGCTGGTGGAAAGACGTAGGAAAGTAAAAGAGTCTCCCAGCTACTTTTATCCATGCCACAGTCATACCAAGCTGTAACCACTGTTATCAATATAATGTTTGTCGAGATGAGTCGGAGGTGAGTGTTGACTTCGTTAAGAACAAATTGATGATGAAAGAGGCCACACAGGCAAAGAACCAGTCAGATGCCAGTAGCAGTGATGTGGCTTTCACTGGGTATAGAAAGTGGTGGGATGGAAGGATTGAAAGGTTGAGCTGTGAAAGATCAAATGAGAAAAAGAGGAGCAACACAGGATTCCATCTTGAGTGCCATGGATGTATAGAAATTGGTCACAAGAAATATCAGTGACCAAAGAATAAAAACCAGAACGCAAGTGATAACAAGGCGAACTTGGAAGAAAATGGAATAGAGGAGGAAATTTCATTCTTGACAGCTTTCAATGATAATTCCTCATCAGGTAATTGCCATAGCAGTTCAATAGAAATCAAGTTTATTATTGACAGCGGAGCTACAAATCACTTGGTGAACATCGATGTTGGAAAGTCATCGGGAGATGAAAAAACCATATTGCACACTATGAATATGGCTAATCATGGTGAGAACTTATTAGCATCAAAATAAGGAGATCTTCGTCTCATAACTGACACTGGTAGAGCTATCGAAATGGCAAATGTGTGAGTGTGTCGAGAATTTCTTCATATTTCATTATCAGTTGGGGAACTTGAAGGAGCTGGTTTTCAAATTCTATTCCAAGATAATCGAGTACAAATTCTGGAAAAAAATTATATAATGTTGAAAAGTCAACTCTGTGGTAATCTGTAGGTAGTGAAAGTATGACATAGTTCTACAGTGAACCTGGTGACAGTTGACAGTTTGCTGTTACACAGGAGAATGGGTCATTTATGTAAGTTTCCAGCAACTAGAGTATGTGAAGTGTGTCTATAAGGCAAGCAGGCTAGATCAGCATTTGAAATCATTTCTGAAGATAGAAAAGACAAACGTGTCTAAGAAGTGATTTCAACAGATGTTTGTGGCCAAATCAATCATTCAACATTTGATGGAAGAAGATACTATGTAAGTTCTATTGACCATTATTCTCTATTTGTTATTTGTTACCTCAGAGCCAATGAAAGTGGGATTATTAAAAAAATTCAAGAGTATGTTGGTTATTTGATGGCCTGATTTGTTACCCGAATTGAATGAATTCAATGATAATGGAGGTGAGTACAACTCGGGAGCGTTCGGGAGATTTTGTGTACAAAATGGAATAAAATGTCAGTACACAATTGCTCGGAATCCAGAGGAAAATTAAGTAGCTGAACGCTACAATCGTACCATAATGGAGAAAGCAGGGTGTCTGATATTTGATAGTGAAATGGACAAAACACTCAGGACTGCTGACACCTGCAGAGATTTGGTACAATCATGAACCAAATTAGGATAAAATCAAACTTTTTGGTTCAATTGCATTGAACTCGATTCCTAAGGAATCTAAGGTCGATCCACGAAGTCAAGAATCGATGATGGTAGGCTATACTGATAATGGTTATAGACATTGAGATAAGCATTCTAAAGGTGTTTTAAGATACCTGAAGTCATTTTGGATTGGGATTTACTAAAAGTTATGATTCTGAAGTTTCTTTGAATCCATATGTTGTGATTTCGCTAATAGTATTGTTGACAAAAACAGTATCACAGGATTCCTGATAAAACATAATAACGATACAATTTTCTGGAAAACTAAAAAACAGAATATAGTCACTCCATCAAGTGCTGAATCAGAATATGTTGCATTGTCATCTTGTATCACTGAAAATTTATTTCTAGGTCAAATGTTGACAGAATTACTTGATGTCAATATATTCTCTATACGAATCTATGAAGATAATCAATCTTGTATCAAAATGGCATCTTTTCGAGTCAAAACAAACGAAACATATTGATATCGAACATCACTTTGTAAGAGACTTCGTTGCTGAAAATAAAATTGAAATATTGTTTATTCCTACTAAGAAACAGCAAGCTGATATGCTGACAAAACAATTAGAATGTAATAAATTCGAATTTTTGAGAAATGTTTCGAACATTGTAGCAATAAAGAAAAAAAATGCTTTTCTTTGGAAAAAAGTTTTGTCAGATATCAGGAAATAACAGAATTGAAGGATGGTGTTGGTAATGCAGTTCTGTAATACTTACGTGCATTGTTGGTTGTATACTCTATAAATTATATTGTCATATTGTCAATCTCATGTTCTATGGATCAGTTCTGTGATTTTGTGAATCTTTCATATTCATCAAACAATCAACGACTGTTTGATAGTTGCCATTGTAGTTGTTGATAGTAGTTTATATTCACAAAATGTTTCGTTCGATACCTAAATCCATTTCAAACTTACTCCAAATAGAAACAACCCATATATTTCCGGACTGCAAATCTTGTGATATTCTGCAGCTTAATTTCACATTTCTCCCGACTCCTATGTTTCAAAATATATTCACCCTTTCATGTACGAACAATCGAGGAATATTTCGAATACAGCTCCAAAACTTCTCCTCCCTACAATTGTCGGCAGATTCCCAAAGATTTTGCCGACGTGCGGCAAGTTTGAAATTGAATTCCAAATCAGGTTAATTCCATGATGAATACCTATTCAAATATCCTGGTTCATGCATGGCGAAACAATCAATAACTGTACCAAGTTTCTGAATTATTATATATTAGAAAATATTCATTACCTCCGTAGACCTACAACTGGACAGACAAGAACGTGGTCCAATCAGCGTTTTTCTGGGGCTACGTGTTGCCTCAAGTGGGAGCGGGCTGGCTAGCCTCTCGATATGGCCCAAAATGGTTTCTCGTTGCAACCATGGGCGTGGGTTCCGTAGCGGGGATCTTCATTCCGACCGCAGCCGCCTGGTACGGCTCTACAGGTGAAGTAACTTTAGTTATAAGTAGACCATAATTATTTGATAGAAGTCTATATTGTTCAAGATGAAGTAGAATTTTTTGAAAAAAGGAAGTAAGAAACAGCCAGCACGTCTTCAATCTCATCAATATTTCCTTCTATATTATCGCATTCATGAGGGCACTGACTCCCCTCATTGTGGAAACAAGTTTTTCGAAAAATGATATCGACAGGCATTGTTTTTGCAATTGCATAATATATTTTTTTTATCGCTTGGAGCGCACGAAAGGGAATCCCTATAGCTACCACCATCTATATATTCCATATAATTTTAATAATCTAGGACATTCATCTGTGAATGAGTGAATCACTATTCCATTCATTTTTTCCAAAATAATATGGATAATTTAAAATGTCTTATAAATCTTGGAGTACTTTTTCGCTCATCTCACCTATTCTATTGTAACCACTAAGCATGCGAATATAAACTACTCAACACTAATTTCGTCGCACACCAAAATGTCGCCCCTGTTATAATGTGAATAACTTTTTCCAGTTTCAAACAATTTGAATTTGGTTCACACTGTTCGATAGCCCAGTCCTTCAGCTATAATCTCGTACTTCATTGAAACATAAGGGTATTCACATAAAATCTCTACATGGTGTTTTCCGACACTGTGCAGAATTTCGGAATATTCAAAAGGCTCTCAAATGGTGAAAAAAAATTTTTTCTCAACTTCGACGACAGTGGCTTGAAGATGATCTCATTATCTCGAGATATTTCGCGAATCAACTTCCTATCTCTCTTATTTACAGAGTGATCAGGGCGTTCCAGATTTGGGTCACTGTCAAGAAAACTCTAGATCTTTGATAGCCATCTTGAGTCAATTATGATATTCAGATCTCTTCATCTGAAGTTTTATTTTCAAAATGAGCCTAAGATTTCCAAAATTGGTTGAAGTGAAAAAAAGTTATGGCTCCAAAACCAAGAAGTAGTTTTTTTGAGATCACTCTGTGAATAAGAGAGATAGGAAGTTGATTCGCGAAATATCTCGAGATAATGAGATCATCTTCAAGCCTCTGTTGTCGGAGTTGAGAAAAAAATTTTTTTTTACCATTTGAGAGCCTTTTGAATACTCCGAAATTTTGCACAGTGTCGGAAAACACCATGTAGAGATTTTATGTGAATACCTTTATGTTTCAATGAAGTACCAGATTATAGCTGAAAGACTGGGCTATCGAACAGTGTGAACCAAATTCAAATTGTTGTAAACTGAAAAAAGTTATTCACATTATAACAGGGGCGACATTTTGGTGTGCGACGAAATTAGTGTTCAGTTGTTTATATGTAGTGTCCTTCCCATTGATATGAGAAGGCTATCTGATTTCCATGCTTCTGATAAGTCTAGTGTCGACAAGTTCCGAGATCATCGTATCAAAATGAATTTCTGATTACATTTTGGATGACCAGAAATTATTATATCTAGGAATAGCTTCAACTCTCATGCCATTTCGAGTCCAAGCTGGAAGATAACAAATTTATTTGACATGGTGTTGTCCCTGTATTCGATGAAACCAATTGTAGTTTTTGTCAACTTGGCCATCTTCATTCCAAAATGTTATTTTTCTTTTCGCTATTCCCTCATCTGGTGTCAGATATTTGGCACAATTATAAAGACATTGAACTTTAATAATCATTTCGCCATATTCTTAGTTACTCCATCAGGACTAGCAGCAATAGGTATACCGGAGATTTTTATCGATTCAATGTATTCATTTTCCATTTTTTTGGCAATATGTTCCTCCAATTCTGCAATATTGAGATGTTTATTTTCCCAAACCAACGATGCTGCATTGATTATTCTCGGATATATAATTCTCTAACTAACCGTCTGAGGTGACGATTTTTTTTTTCTTGCATACCCATCCAAAGACTGACGGTGATAGGTTTCTCCTATCTTCTCTTCACAGCTTTGACTCAGTTTGATCTAAACTCTTCTATAAATTATTTTCTAGAGTCTTAGGATTTTCATTGGAAAGCAAAAAACGCATCCTCACCATCTATATATTCCATATAATTTTGATAATCTAGGACATTCATCTGTGAATGAGTGAATCACTATTTCATTAATTTTTTCCAAAATAATATGGATAATGTAAAATGTCTTATAAATCTTGAAGTACTTATTCGCTTATCTCATCTATTCTTATTCAAATTCTGATGCAACCAACGATGTTCCATTGATTAGGTATTTTCGGATATATAATTCTCTAACTAACCGTCTGAGAGGTGGAGATTTTTTTCTCTTGCATATATCCCTCCAAAGACTGACAGTGATTCATTCTTTCTTCTTCTTTTCACAGCTTTGACTCAGTTTGATCTCAACTCTTCTATACAGTATTTTCTAGATTCTTTGAATTGATTGGAAAGCAAAATACGCATACCCAACCTACCATCAAAAGAATTCCATCTTGGATTCTATCTTAATATTCCATTTAATTATTGTTATCTAGGACATTCCTCTGTGAATAGGTAAATCGGTATTCCATTCATTTTTTTCAAAATAATATAGAAAATGTAAAATGTCTGATAAATCTTAATTCTTCGCTCATCTCACCTATTCAATAGAAATGACGGTATGACGAAGCACCCTTGTTTTTTGTTGACTCAACTTTGCATGGAAAAAATTAGTCTACATATAGTTAAAATCACCCTGATCCATTTGATCATTTCATCATGTTCCTTATATTTATCCATTCGTTGGAAATATCTATTAGAAACATTCCAGAACTTCCCTGTGTTCGGAGAATTAGAATAAATCCATTAACTGAGTAGGTATAACACAGTTGCTTTGTTGATTCCATGATACCTTTATTCATTATATATCGTATAAGGCTGGTAGGTTTATTGAACGAAATATAAATAGGTTCGTAGTATGAAAAGACAAATTGGATCGCAGACTATTTCGTGAAAAAAATAATAAAATACTTCATCATAGGACCATTGACTATAAATAAGGCATTTGAATTTTATGGGAGGAGCTCATTTTTGTTGAGTGCCGCGCCTACAGGGAGAATTCTTCTTCACGGTGCCTCCCTTCCCAATTTCCCATGCGAAAACCAAATAAGATTTCAGCAAATGAAAATCATTTCTGAAGAGTACTACATCTGATCTGTGCATCTTATCGACTAGATTTTCAATTTTTGATTCCACAACGTAGAAAGAAATTGACAAAATCGGTCAAAAACGCACTACTTTACAGGTGAATATAAATTAGTCTATGTAAAAAAATTGAAATCCATTCAATGAGATGCATCGATTGCACCTTTGACTACCCAGGAAAAAAATATTGAGCCTCTTGGATGATCCATAACCATAGGGGAACTTGGGAGCGGTACCTCTTTTATTGGCGGAGGCGCTGTGGAATATGCCCTCTTAACCACTTTGGTACATGAAATTTGCTATATGAATTATTGTACACGGTCTTGTTGTAAATTCAAAAAGAGCGACCAAAAGACTGAAACCTTTGGCACGATATCCCACTTCACTGTTCCACCACTAATCAAACCGATTTTCTCAAAGCCTCTATACGTTTTTCTTCAACTTTGTTAGCATCTTCAGGAGAAGATCAAAACAGGTATCTGATAACGAAACTCAAATCAGTGTCGTAATGTTTCACATCACAAATTGGTAGAATGAAATTAGTTATTTTCAATACAAGTCCGGAAAGTACTTCTTTCCCGCACGCGACTGCCGTTGACACGTACGACTCGAAGCGGAGTTCGAGCAAGTAGTCGAGTGCAGAAAAGACACTTTCCGCATGAGTTAGGAACAATATTTTCTCTACAATCGTAGGAAATTGATTGATTTGTTCGATCGATTATTCCTTTATATAGAAACGACTAACAAGAGGAATATTTCCTCTATCTACTGATTATTATAGTAATAGCTATATTGTCAACTTACAGTTTGACGCATTATGTATAGGTTCACTGCGGAAGTCAGCAGGCCCATAAGATGTTTGGTCTCTAGGTTTCAGACACTTCTAGGAAATGAGACAAAAACTCATCTTCTTCATTTGGTATTTTCATTTCTTTATTGTTGCACCATTCAATGAAACGCGTATATAGCTTCTCATACCTTTTTTAAGAGTTCATTGGCAATAACGCATCTGTATCGCATCCCTATAGCTGAAAGTTTTTGATCACATTGTGGCAATTCCACTGAATCGAAAATGACAGTAACGCTGTGTCTGTCACTTCGACAATTTCAAACTCATCTGAGGTTTGATTGGCATGAGAACAATAATCGTTCTCCATCAGAGCAATCCAAGTCAATAGAGGGATTTTTATAATGATCAATTTTTATTTTTCAATATTTCTCAATTTTCACAATAAATAGTGCAATTTGATGGATGATTCTGAAAATACATATTAAACACTGCAACAAACAAACTCAAACTCTCATATTCCATCACCTTCCACTTATATTTTGTGATATTATCATATCTTTGTTTTTCCCGCACCTTTGCGGGAAAATTACACTACCCAAACTGAATTGCGTGCGGGTATTGGGTGAATCACGCACGCTTGTAGAAAAAAGAATTCACGATTCATACATCCGTTGTCAACTTCGAAATATGTCGAACAATACTTTATCAAACTCGTTTGTTTGGTGAACTGCAAAACTTTGTAAATTTTCGTCAATGGTAAAAGTGAAGTATTCTCTAAAAATTATAAGCTCAGAAAATTCGACAATAATTACAATAACTATATTTTCCCTCACCCTATCATCTCTTGGTTAACTCAATGTTTTTCGAACATCATAGGAATTCCTCTTCGTGCGCTCTAAGAGATGGAGAAATATGTAACAAGAGGGTGTTGCGAAGGATGGGCGTTAGGCGTATACTTGTGAATCTACCTATTGTGCTATCGGTTGTCACTCATTCTGCGAACTGTCAACTTCCAAGCGTACATTTCAATCTGAGAAAAAAATTCATCAACATCAAATCCGATCACGAAAGATACATCCAGATATATAGATTGCAGAAGATAAAGCAAATCGAACTTCAGTTTCTGGTATAACTATGATCATTTAGTCCTCCTTTCTTGTTGTTTTTTTCAATATATTAACTGACATTTGAAATAGTATTTTCCAGTTCATCACACCAGTGCTGTGGAGTATCGCATCATGAATCTGGAATCATTGTCTTGAAGTTTCACAATACATATTAGAAATCAGTAAAAATATTCACAGGAGTCAATTCAATTCTCGTTCTAGGTATTTTCCTGGTGAAACCAAAAGTGATAATTATTTTGTCATGGAAAATATGATGAACTGTGTCTCCGATTCAACTGACATAATTCTAACATGAAAAACAACTGAATGATTTTCTGGCCACAGATTTTGTTGTATACCAGCAGAGTGTCTAATCACCTGAATAATTATTGAATCTCTATTGTAGAGATCACTCGATTAAATATCTGCTACTATACCTGATATGCTTGAACCTTCACTGAATTGATCGATTTCTCAGGTGTCATGGTATGCCGTGCTATCCAGGGACTGAGTCAAGGGTTTGTATTCCCTTCCGTCCATGGCTTGCTGGCCAAATGGGTGCCGAAAAGCGAGAGGAGTCGATTAGGCACTCTTGTGTATGCAGGTAAAATCACAATTTCATCCTCCTATGCCGAACTCACTATCTAACTCGAACATATTGAAGTTCATGATTGAATGTACAAACTCTTCTCAATGATCATCAAACGAAGGTGATATATAGAAAGGTATATGATCACATTACTCTTTCAATATTATTTAGCAGTAAGATCTACACAGCTTCTCCACCAGAAATAACTCCCAGCTCATCAATCCTAGATTTCGTTTCAATATTTCATCAAAGAACTCAATCAATTTGAATTTATATGGAAAGTACCAGAATCTTTCGAAGAGCTCAGCTCCTCAGAATTTAAATAAGCTATCAAACAGCTTCTACTGAAACACGGTTTTTACTTGGTGGATGAATTTCTGTCCTGTGATTTAACAAGAATAAGACCATGAAATATATATGAAAATACACCCATTTTACGTACCTACTACTCTTAAAAATATTTTAAACCATAAATTGGGGTTGTGTAACTATACTTGTTGCTTTTATTCATTATGTTCACATATCCTCTATTTTTAATATCTACGGACATGTTCCAAACTATTTGACGTGTGTAATGAATGAAATTTTCAAAGACACCAATAAATTCTATTCTATTCTATTCTATTCTATAAGTAGGTAGTGATAACTTGAAAATGTTGTGTCTAGGGATCCGTACACTCAGCTGAATGGACAAGGAGCAAAATTTTCGACAAAAATGCCAGAATAGATCGTTGGACACTGTGCCGAAAGTAGTCATTGTGCCACAAAACGCTAGTTGACAAATTGCCCAATAAGATCATGTTGCCGAAACGATCAAACGCTGCTGCATAGTTCAGCAACGCAAAGGCCAAACTGAATCCTCAATTTTGTTCAAAATGTCGAAATAAATATTTGGACACATCGCTGAAGGTTGTCATGAAGTCAAAAAAGCTTCTCACGATCCTGCATAGTTCAGAAACGCGGGGGCCAAACCAACCTCTCAATTTTGCTCGAAATGTCAGAAAATTTATTTGGACACATCGCTGAAAGTAGTCATGAAGTCAAAATAGCTCTTTGAACATTTTTCTATGGTGAGAGCCGCTGAAATATCTTTTTGGACACATTGGCGATCGTGTTCTCAAAATTTGTAGAGAGATGCATGCTTGATACTGAACATTATTGATATATGCAACTTACTTAGAGAAAGGGGACTTGCATTAATTTGAAATTATCCAGATAGGTATCTTCCAAACAGATCGGATCATCAAGAGTAATCATAAAATCAATAATTAGAACATTCTTCATCAAACATATCAATGAGCGTGTGAAGTTGCACAGCATGAAGATCTCGGAAACAAAAGGAGATACGAAATCGGTTGAAAAGGAAACAGATATCAAATTCCAAGGGCCATACCAACGGCCTCCAGAAATATTCGGGATGGTTCATAGTTTTTCTTAGTTATATCGAGAAGGAAGAATTTTTAAAATACTTCATTACTTCCTCATAACTAGAGAAAATGTAGATCTGCAAAACTGAAATACTTCTCAATAGCCACATGTTATGATTGTTTTCTCTCTACGCATCGTTTCGTATCCGTGGAACCGTCATCACTTCGTTTCATACAGTCTTGATCATGTGTTAACAGATTCTGATAGCTCCTTCGATTTTGATGCAACAATTCACTACTCAAAGTGGTTCGAATGTGTTTCGAACTAGTTTCAGCTATCTCCAATTTGCTTTCGGAATGTCATGTGGAAATACCAGCAGTTTCACGACGTATATTTGGTCATTCTTAGTCAAACATTGATGAAGTATATCGAAGACTGGAACCTTTGGCACGATAATACACTACACTGTTTTACCACTAACCAAACCGATTTATTAACGCCTCGACACGTGTTTCGCTAACTATGTTAGCATCTTCAGGAGAAGATTAAAACTGAGTTTTAATCTTCTCCTGAAGATGCTAACATAGTTAGCGAAACACGTGTCGAGGCGTTAATAAATCGGTTTGGTTAGTGGTAAAACAGTGTAGTGTATTGATGAAGTAGTTATTCAATACTGAGTAGTAAAAAAAATATTTCATAAGAGTTGGTGGAATACCGCAATGGTTTGTCACTCGACTAGCAATCAGATCATCGAAAGGTTGCATTGTTCAATATCCGACAGAGCAGAGAGTTATCATTTTTGAAACAAGTTATGTATCATAATTTCCGTAGCCTCAGCTGAGGATTACTCCCCACGATTATTTATGTTGATGAATTCCTAAACGAATTACCTTGACTGTTATTCCACTAATCACATAACCTGAACAATCACAAGCCAGTGACAAGTTGTGTTATCGCGAAAACATTATCTGTCTCGCAATCCTGATTGTTCTATCAGCGTTGTAATTCTCAACGATGTGACTATGGGTAGCTGAGCGAAGTCTGTTTGGCATCACATAATTGAAGCTGTAGGTGTCAGAATGAATCACTCATTCATGATGAATTCTTGTTTACCTCGTAAACGTGGAATAGTGTAGCAAAACGCCACTCTGTTCTCACTACCTTCCTATTATAATTATGTCTCTTATAGTTAACTAAATAGTGTTGCTGTAGAATGGTAGCACTCTTCCTGATGTACTCGTGAACCGACAAAACTATCCAGAATATTCAGTACATCGTAATATTACTCATGATAACCAAACCTATTCTACGGTCCCTTGGCCAGCGAGATCGCCTGATTGGACACTTGTAGATAAAGTCGAGAACCTTTTCCACGAGAGTAATTTTCCTAGCGAAAAAGTAAGGGACATTGTAATCGAAGCTTCGAAATATCTAAGAAGCCACTGTGAGGAGAGATCTCCGTTCAGAAAAAAAAAATTATAAATTCCAACATTTGTTATGTATGGTATTTTTTGTAATTTTTGTTTGTGTTGTCAGTACATAGTTATTGAGGTAATTCGTGTGAGAATCCATTGACATGAAACAGAATTTGATGCACTGCATTGAATAAATTAGTAAAAACTCTCCTTCCACTTATCAGTATCGAATAAACTCATCAATATTCAACAACGAATGATGATCAGAAATGAGTAAAACTAATCTATGATCTATGATCATTAAATAAAAGTTGTGGAGATGACTTTGGGTTTTCATCTAATGGTGTATGTTCTCTTCGAATTTTCAAATGGACATCCATGATGGCTTGAACAAGATCGATACAATTTCTAATCACATTGTTCAATACATCGTTGAATTCAAAATGAAGGAATATTTCAGGATCAGTAAACACCTAATCAGAGAAGTATTTAAAAAAAATGTATGGTAGTTCTACGAAAACGAAACGTCGCGTAGAGAAATCAATATTACCACGTTGAATATCATCAATAGGTTAGGTTTACTCAGGTTTCATGTGAGTGGGACGGATACCGCCTGTCCACTGCGGCCCCAGATGGGTTAATTGTGGCTCACCCTCAAAGGTAACAGTTATTTGTACGAACCACATTTCTTCACAACGTTTATGGTCAAATTAGTAAGATCCGTCTAAAATCGATAGATCCTTGATTGGTGGAGCCGAATATGTCGAACCTGAATCTCTCTCAGCAAGACTAGTCTCCCGTTGGAAAGAAGAATTTGAAAGGCTTTTTCACGTTCTGAGTAGCCAACATGTCGAAAACTATTTTTAGAATTTGCTGATTCTCCGTTTCCATCAGTTACCCTCCTCTAATGTGCTCCCCTCTCCAAGATAATGTGAAGAGAAGAGAGCTCCAGGAGATTTCAAATCGCTGCCGTTAGAGTGGAGCTTTGCCCTGGCTGTCCTTTGTAGAACTTCAGTCTACCAGACTACCGAGCCAAATGTGACCATTGGTTTCACCAATGTTGAGTAAATTCAGTGAATCTATTTGGGTATCATTTCCCATAATTTGCTGCATACCCTTCTGAGATTCCAGAAAATAATGCCAGATTGGTAGGCATATTGATACAGATTCAGGAAATGTTTTCTCAGATTCTCCCCTCTAATATGCCTGTTCGGAATCCTAGAGATTTCAATAGGAATCAGGTGAGGCTGATCGGTCGGGAGGATTGATAACTCCTATATATCTGAATAATCGAACATATGGGGGAATTATCATTATTTCTACTGATTGTTGAGTAGAGGAGTTCATCAAAAAAATACACAACTGAGACAGCTATCTCATGGTACCACAGTGAAGTTTAAAAGAGACTTCCACACGTGAATATGCATGATCATGTTAATTTTTGAGAAATTCAATGGCCCTGACGAGACCCTCGTCAAAACTAAGGAAGGGGGTCCTCTCCAGTGGTTTGCGATAAAAAAAAATAAGTGACTCCGATAGTAGAGATCTGAGCTGAACTGATGAGCCGAATGCTGCAGCTACTCCTCCTAGGTATTTCTCCTATTTTACTAACAGCAGTCGATCTAGAATTCCAGTGTCGGAGTGAAGAGAGCTGCTTCCACTCATTCACTGGGCTGGATTCTGCAGTCTCTCCTTCTTGGTATTGTTCTCGGCGTGTAAATCGCATACTGCTCAGAATATTGGCTGCAGTGTAGACAAAGGAGAAAGGGCCTTCTCTGATGCAGTGTGCTAGATTCTGTAGCTCCTCTTCCTGGGTATTTCTCCTGGCGTGTCAACGAAACGCAGTTCTGTAGATCAGCGGAAGGTCAGACAACCATTAGTGCCCTAGGCACATCATAGCATCTCCTTCTACCCTAGTGTATGAAAAAATATGTTGTTCAGCCCCAAACTCCTCAGAATAATGTGATACTATAATTCTCAGTCAACATAACCAATCAACCAAAACATCAGTCACCCTGTGAAGAGTGTTGAAGAAGTGCAAAAAACATCTTGGATGGGGCACGTGGCATGACTCCTGAATGGCTCCAAGGCAGCGAAGACCCATCGAGCTCCCAAATTCAAAGTTGGTGGAGGTGATCACGCCAAGAGTTATGAACATTGTAGAAGGATTGATATGTCACCTGATGGCTGCCCAAGAGAAGATCCTCAAGAACCAAATTTTTTTCGAAGTTTACTATTTTTTCCACCCGAAACACCGACCGCTCACGAAATAACAAGAATCCGAGCGAGAATACTTTCCTTGCATCCTATCGGTTGGGATGTGCCCTGAGAACTAAGAGTTCAAATAAATCTGTTCAAAACAGGACCCATACTCAGGAGGATTTCTCAGTCTTATTTACCACGTCTGCAAGTCCATGATGTGAAACAACATAAGCTGATGATTGCATCTTCTTCTCCATATTTCTCCGTGAGTTACGAAGACTTTTGATGCTCACGATGACCAGAGTTCCATGCTTCAATAGGAATAGGGCATACCTTCATAACTGTCTGTAGTATAATCACGGAGGTATTACATCCATTTCACTCAATTATTTGGGGTTATCACTCTTCGTTTCTACAAAATGATGATATGAGTATTATCTGAATATATATTTAGTTGGACGATCCAAATAGTTTGCCCCAAAATGTCACCGTGTTCAACGAATCATTCTCAAAGTGTCATCCCTAACTTGTCGAGGATATCCTATCAAACATACTCTATGACTTTCGACACCGTTTGCCTCGTTTTTCCCATCCACGGTCGGACTGCCCGAGCCGAGCAATGTTGTAAGCTTTTCACTTCTGAAATGAATCCTAAATTATTTCTTCAATTATGAAGATATCAATATCTTGACGGAGGTGATTTGCATTAAATTGCGGATCCTTCATTTCTATTAACACGATTTTTGGGATGTAAATTACATTTTTGATTTTTCATCATGGGAAATATCTCTCCCAGAACAGGTGAGGATCATTTGACTATCATCATCTGAATGCATGTCTGACGTAGCTTTTCGTTTTTCACATTATAATACTTACCGTAACAGCGTAACGACCACTCCTGGAGATTTGTCCAACAATGATGTCGTTAACTTCATAACCTCTGGTGAAATGTGTTGGCTTTATGACCAAAATCGGCGTTGTGCCCACGAAATAATTCATTCGACGTTTCAAGCAAAAATGATCTTTTGGTTTAGACGCTGTATTTCCGATACATGCAGTGTCCAGCGTTAAGTGACGTTTTTTGGCATGACGATCATTTACCGGAATCCTATTCGAATCAGCGTTTCGACACAAGAGTTGGTGATTCATCAATTTTCTACAAAGTGTATGAGAACTATTATAATCAATGATGATCGCTATCATTATTATCATCGATAACTATTTACGAATTTGATGCTTCCTAGAAACAGCTCGATCGATTGATTGATTGATTGATTGATTGATTGATTGATTGATTGATTGATTGATTGATTGATTGATTGATTGATTGATTGATTGATTGATTGATTGATTGATTGATTGATTGATTGATTGATTGATTGATTGATTGATTGATTGATTGATTGATTGATTGATTGATTGATTGATTGATTGATTGATTGATTGATTGATTGATTGATTGATTGATTGATTGATTGATTGATTGATTGATTGATTGATTGATTGATTGATTGATTGATTGATTGATTGATTGATTGATTGATTGATTGATTGATTGATTGATTGATTGATTGATTGATTGATTGATTGATTGATTGATTGATTGATTGATTGATTGATTGATTGATTGATTGATTGATTGATTGATTGATTGATTGATTGATTGATTGATTGATTGATTGATTGATTGATTGATTGATTGATTGATTGATTGATTGATTGATTGATTGATTGATTGATTGATTGATTGATTGATTGATTGATTGATTGATTGATTGATTGATTGATTGATTGATTGATTGATTGATTGATTGATTGATTGATTGATTGATTGATTGATTGATTGATTGATTGATTGATTGTTTGATTGATTGATTGATTGATTGATTGATTGATTGATTGATTGATTGATTGATTGATCGATCGATCGATCGATCGATCGATCGATCGATGGATTGATTGATTGATTGATTGATTGATTGATTGATTGATTGATTGATTGATTGATTGATTGATTGATTGATTGATTGATTGATTGATTGATTGATTGATTGATTGATTGATTGATTTCAGCTTCTCCAGCTGGTAGTGTGGTGTCCATGATCCTGACCGGTTACATCGCAGCCAGTTCCTACGGATGGCCTATGGGGTTTTACCTCTTCAGCATTTTCGGACTGATCTGGTGTCTGCTTTGCGCTCTCTTTGGATCTAATTCTCCAGCGGATCATGCCTCGATCTCCAAGGAAGAGCGATTTTATATCGAGAGCAGTTTGGGTCAGGAAGATCATGGAAAAGTATGTACCCGCAATTCGGGTGTTGATAATCAATTCTTGCTTTGAAATAATTCGGAACTGTCTAGGTAATAATCAATGTAAGTGAACGAAATGATGGAATTCATATTCACGTAATCGATTGAGAAACCCGTCATTTTGTGAGAAAATGGGATATCGCGAAACGAGCGAAGCAATATCGCGCATAGCAAAATTTCACATAAAATGCGTTTTCTAACTAGTGTTCCTCAATTTCGATGAAGAATTCTGCATGAACAGAAATGATCATCAGTTCTTCATGATTTTCACCGTTTATGCATGAAATGTAGTAGGCAAGTTGACTTTCCCGTCACGTCAAAGAATCCGGCTAACTATAATATCGTAGTGAATCAGCGACGAAATTCACGAAATAGACCTGTTCAATGATTTCATTGGTAAAAATGGCTGATTTTCAATTTCTCAAGTGATAATGAGGAAGCAGCACAAAAAACAAATTTATTGGTGTTGAAATAAAGATTTCATCGCAAGTTATGTGATGATTCACCTAGCGCATCTGGTAACCGAGAAAGAATCAATATCTTCATCACATTGAGAATGCGATTTGTTTTGAAATCTACTACGCTTTGCACGGTTTGCGTTGGAAGCTACTACGCTTCACACGGTATGTGTTGAAAGCTACTACGCTTCGCAGAGTTTGTGTTGAAAGCGACTACGCTTTGCACAGTTTGTGATGAAAGCTACTGAGCTCTACACAATTAGTGTTGTAAGCTACTACGCTTTGCAAGGTGTGTGTTGAAAGCTATCACGCTTTGCACGGTTTGTGTTGAGAGCTGTAACACTTTCTTGCATTACATTTGTTGTAGAATCGTTCATCAAGAAGAAGATCACAAGTTGCTTAAACCCCTTGTTGATGGCAAGTAATAGCGAAGTGGATGGAGCAACGGAATCTGGACTTCGAGAGCAAAGCTTGTGTCAGGATTGGCCCTGTTAGATCTCCTCGGAATGTATTTTAATCGCTGAATCCCATGTTCTAGTTTCTTAAATTGATATCAAACCGTTGATCAGTTATCGATTGGAATTTTACTGTTTTCATCTGACGAAAAACATGCATCGACGAATTGAGTGGGCACAAACACTACTGTTCGGACTCATCCACATTCATTCAGGTTGATACATTGATTTGAGCCGCTCGGGCTATCTGCTGTTCTGTACACGTGATTGTCCTTGTTCAGTATTTACATTATGGTTTGTAGAAATGAATTCAGTACATTGTGTTTATGTGTGTGATAATAATCTGTACCACTTGTACCTAACACTATTTTTTCTACTAGCGTGCGAAAGTAACTCAGAAGAGATATATTCGTGAATCCGCCATCTCAAATCAAATCAAATCAAAATATACCTTATTGTCAAAAGATGAGTATCTTGTAGATAAAGTCATAATAAATTAATACCTACGTTTGCGCTATCGACGAACAGACACTCCATAAAAATATGTCTTTGGCTCAACATTCAACAGGAATAATATAATCATGAATGAAATAAAACAAATATATATATATATGAATATAAATAGATCCAAGGTGGATCTATCAGAATGAAATTTCTTGGGGTCAACTTTGGATCATCATTGCCTTGGTTTCATTGCTACGGCTGGAATCACTGAAGCTCATGTCGACTAGCATAATTCTCTCGTTCATTCATCGTTTCAGCAAATATCCACACCATGGATCAAGATTATGACTTCTATACCATTCTGGGCCCTTGTTGTAGCACAGTCTGGCTTCGTTTGGGGTTACTGGACTCTTCAAACACAAACACCAATCTACATGAGCAGCGTGATGAAGTTCGACTTGAAGTCGGTAAGAAGAATCAAAAATTCAAATCAAGGAATAATCATCAGTCAGCGCGTCATCTGTCATACCTTGCCTGTTCAATATGTTTGCTGGGTTCATCTGAATTGATCAGTTCTTGCAGCGAGTTTCCCTGTATATATTTTTATTCAAACGCACTGTATATTGAACGTATGCAGCAGCAAGCTGGTAGTTGACGTAGCCTGGTCACGTGTCATCGATCGTTGTTATTTGTCGATGGCCATCTGTCAAATGTCATATGTCGATTATCATACGTCAGCTGTCTAATTCATTTTCAACACATAAATGGGGTGGTCTAACCACGGGCCGCCCTGTATATATTTTTTTAATCTTCATCAACTCAAACACCCTGTATATATTTCTCTCAACTCAAACACTCCTTCCATGCTAAAACATGGGTCCGCGAACCGTAGGACACTCTGTATATATTTCTCGACTAATATACAACACAAACACCCTATATATTAGATTGAATCCTTGACTAGCGGGTGGCCTATATGCTGGTAGTCTACTCGTCGAGGAGGTATAACGCCTTTTGGGTTCACCCTATATATTTTTTTTCCCAACTATTACCCAACTCAAACACCCTGTATATAGCCGTTGTTAAGTGAAAAATGGAATGAAATGCGCGCCGTTATCTCTAGAACGGATCTCTCGCTTTGCTCGCCGTCGGAGCCGGATGACCTTGAAGGGGATAAAAAATTGCAGAATGAACCTTAACTTTTCTCATTGAGATTTACATGGGAAAAGTGGTCGAAATGGTCTGGTTCTCCCATAGCTGATTTACTAAGGTGTTCTCTTGAGGAGGAATCTTCATAACGGGTTGAAGATTTATTCAAAATTAAACATTAAATCAAATATAATATCGTAGTTATACACGAACATTCTGTCCATTCCAAAATACTCTATCAGTTCTGGAAACAAGTAACATTTTGGGAATGATAACTGTTGCGGCTGTTTCATATCTGCTGCAGCGCTGCAATTTTCCAAATATAATACTATAAGTCCGTTTGTGCTGATGATGATGATGAATAACTGCGAACGAACGAAGTGTCAATGGGTCACGGAACGCAAGTGAAGTTGACATACCGTCCCAATGGAATATGAAACTACCGCTGGATTATCATTCATCTGGGCCACACGATCGAGCTCTAAGCGCTCCTTTTGTACCCCCGTGTATAAGTCCACTCAAGATGTACATCCGTGCTTGCAGAAGGTCCGGTCGTTCTGAACATTTTATATCCTGATAGGACCTGAACCAATATTGAAAAAACAGATTTGTTTTTCTCAAAGTGCTGTGCAAGCAGCGGTTTATCCAACAAACATGAAATTTTTGCTCAATATATGAGTGGATTCATTGGTTTCCAAGATAAAGTTCTTCGAAAATATATGCTATTTCCTCCAAGAAGTAAATTCCTTCGGAATGGACATATTCCGTGAATTATCTCCTGAAAAACGCTTTTGTTGTTGTTGTAGTGAATTGAATTTGCTTTCATTTTAGACTGGTACCCAAAGGCCCAGAGGTTCAATCTCAGAAATGACTGACATCCGAAAACAGTCAGTTTCGAGGGAAAATGCGAATTAACTGTGCTCACCTCTTTCTATGTTTCATTTATCAGTAGTGGTCCACTGACAGATCCCAAGATCCATTGTCACACCACACCAAAGAGTTGAAACGAATGAATTGATCAAAATCCTGTGGCAAATAAACGTGGTTATAAAGAGGAACAACAGACGAACCACTCTGGAATCGATCACTTCATCCGTTGAATTGCAGAACAAAAACAGAAGAGTAGCTGTGGATCACAATTTCATAGCGAGTAGGTATCGCAAAGCAATCTGAACAGGATGCACAAGATGAATTCTAGTATACAGGGTGTCCGCTAAAAGGAGGTCAATCCATCAACCATATGTTCCTTGAACAAAAATAATATGAGTTTCTTAATACCATTTTTCATTTCAGCCCTTCATATTCAATATACAGGGTGTCAAAGTTGGAAATTAAAAACTGTTTTTTTCTAATTACTCGCGTATTTGATGAGATATTAATCTCAGAATTGGTACATCACTTCAGCACAAAGAGTTACATCGTGTGAGGAAAACAAAATAGACAATAACTGTCAAATATTCAAAATACTGGGGGTCAAGTACACACTTACCCCCATTTTTTTTTGTACGTGCGCTAATGACTTCCTATCTATTTTTCTTCAAGTGTTCAATCATTTTTGAGTATTTTTTGATTCATGTAAAATTCCGATAAACTTATTTGTTTTCAAGATAATTCGAAAAGTACTGGTTATTGTATGATGCCTGTGCGGCTTACGGTAATCTCATTATGTTCACATACACCTATTTATTTCGTCGAAATTGGAAGAGGGCGTAACATCTTACGTACGAAAAGGTAAATATGGAAATACCGGATGCTCAGAGCAAATTTACTAAAATAATTTTTACAAAAAAAAAAAATTAAAAAAGTACGAATTATTTCAATACATCCGCTCTGAGCACCCGGTATTTTTATATTCACCTTTCCGTACGTGAAAAGATACGCCCTCTTCCTATTTCGACGAAATAAATAGGAGTATGTAAACATTATGAGATTACCATAAGCCGCATAGGCATCAAACAATAACCAGTACTTTTCGAATTATCTTAAAAACAAATGATTTAATGGAAATTTTACAAGAAACAAAAAATACTCAAAAATGATGGAACACTTGAAGCAACATAGATAGGAAGTCATTAGCGCACGTACAAAAAAAATATGGGGGTAAGTGTGTACTTGACCCCCAGTATTTTGAATATTTGACAGTTATTTTCTGTTATGGTTTCCTCACACGATGTAACTCTTTGTGCTGAAGTAATGTACCAATTTTGAGATCAATATCTTATCAAATACGCGAGTAATTAGAAAAAAACAGTTTTCGATTTCCAACTTTGACACCCTGTATATCGAATATGAAGGGCTGAAATGAAAAATGGTATCTAGAAACTGATAATGTTTTTGTTCAAGAAATATGTGGTTAATGGATTGACCTCCTTTTAGCGGACACCCTGTATATCTGAGTTGGCCCTGTTCACGATGTCTCTGCCTACTGAACAGGCGATGCGCAAGAGCACTAAATCCACTCTGTACTCTATACTGTAACATACACTTTTAGTAAATGTTACTTTTTCTATGAAATATTGATAGTACCAAGTATTCAACTGACCTTTTCGGAATAATTGATTCAACTCTGGTTTTCACTGAATGTATTTTGAGAACTTGCATTCCCTTTTGTAGGATATTTTGAGCTTTTCTGTTACAGATTTCATGGAGCTGCGAGTCACTGGCATACACGATGGCATACATCGGAGATCATCCTGTATATCCCTTGCATAATTGATTTTAATAGCATGTTATGTTTTGTTGACTTGATGAAAGTTCATTATTTCAGTTTGTTTTGAAAATATTCATATGAAATGTCAAACGAGTTGTTAAGGTTGTAATTTTAATTCTTCTTTTTCTTTTGTTCCTTTGTCCCATGTAGCATTGACGAATAGTTCAGCGTTCAGACCTTCAACGAGCAGGATCGCGACAGTAACATATCAAGGTTGATAAACTTCGCTATATCTTTAGAATGTCTAGGTAGTAGGCCGTCAGCATTTTCTTATTGTTATTGATCTGTATTGATTTGTATTGATTATTCATTTGAACCTGATATCGGTTATTGCAACGGTTGATTCGAATCTGGCTATTTGGTTACTATGATTTTTATGACTTAAATGACATGGACATTTGAATATTTTGATTGATGATTGGAAAAGAGAAAGAAAGATTGAAAATCGTTCCTTTCTGCATCTGGCCTCCATGAAGTGAACTTGTAGGTGGATGTCTGTTAATTTACATTTTTGAACATTCACAATTTCCTGTCATGAACATCTTATAAAAGGTAACTATTCGATTATTATAGAAATTCTTGATCTATTGAAAAGAATATTCTTGTGAAATTTGATCCATATTCAAGAAAATTAATTGATAAACTTTCATCATCTCAAGGTTGCATTATTACAACATGTTTTCCATTTTTCATATGTTATAGTTCTGCCAGACTTTATTCTAGTATACTTTATTCTAGTATACTTTATTCTAGTACTTCTTATATAATGACACTTATATAAGTAAACTTGCTGATATATACATTTCTTGTATATTTTGTGATGTAACTATATCAACTATTTTGCTGAATGCTTTCATGGACTCGAAAGAGTGAGCATTTTTTGATGATTTTATGAAACAGTCTTCATGGAGAGATTGTCCTGGCTATTGGCCGATTTATTGTTCCTGTATATCACTGGAAATTTGATGTTCATTTCAAGAAGATAAAAATTTGCAAAGTTGATGTCATAAATTCAATATCCTGGCTGGACTAAGCATACATATAGGTCACCTGACAACTCACCAGACTCGTATGCCCATGGAATCTGGGATGGATCCCAAAATGATGATGAAATTGACCGCGATGTAATTTGGAAGCTGATATCAAGATCTATGAGCTCTGGTCTATCGACATTTCACTGGATTATTAACATTCTTGCTGACATAAGGTATTCTCTGCATATTATGAAGTATACACTGATCGTTGAACCATTTATTATAACATTCTTTGTAATCTTAAATCTAGTACAATTGAAATTTATTATGATTCAATATTCCTATAATCTGTGAAGGTGTAATGCATTATATCTGGGGGAATATCCCATTTATTCCATTTCGAAGATTTATCCAAAAGTATTAGTAATTATCTTACATTCCAATTATAGGAGAATATTTAGTTGACTCACCCTGTATATGGTGAGGTGTGAATTTCAAATTGCATGGTTTCATTCGATATTTGTGATATATCATTCATTATGATTGTGTTTATGCATGACATGGAAAATGCATAGTCCTAATCAATATTTTTTTTGTGACATCTTCTATAGTTTGATGCAGACTTACCTACACA